CAGAGTTTGGGTTGTCCCCCCACGGGCTTGTAATATTGGAGGGGGAGGGGGGGGGGGGGAATGCAAGGAGCTGGTGTTGATAAACTCAAACCAACGCAATCAGTGAGGTTAAGTTGCACTGGGATGTATGACCGACCATCTTGCATAAAAAAAAGACCTGATAATCCATTTCCTGCAGTGTGCAACTCTCTCAACACTCTACATTATTATTATTATTACTATTATTCCCAACGGGGTTCTTGCCGGAGCCCAGGAGCTTGAGACTAGAGAGGTGATCACAGAAGTGCAGCTGGAGCGGGTAGATTTGGCGAGCCTATGTACCGAGCCCAGAGGCTGAAGTACACTTGCTAACACAGATAATTGTTGCAAGCTGTTGTTGTTGTTAAGATTCGCTACTTGAAACAAAAAGTTCCAAGTAGCACGGGCTATGGTGAGCCCGTCTGTAGCGAGTATTGCAAGATAATATGAGATGTGCTGGTACATCCCATATTATACACAGGGTACAAGTGAAGGCCCTACGACGCCGGGGCTCGTGGAGGACGGACGCCCCCCTACGACGCCGGGGCTCGTGGAGGACGGGGACGCCCCCTACGACGCCGGGGCTCGTGGAGGACGGGGACGCCCCCTACGACGCCGGGGCTCGTGGGGGACGGGGACGCCCTACGCAGCCGTCATTATGCCACCTGCAGTCACCCGGAATTTCTCGTCACCAATCGCTCTAAATAAGGCTTCGGCTTTCTCTTGAAAATTAATCTTATCACTCATTATCTTTCCTGTTAGAGAGCCGCGTTGCTCCACGATCTCTTTTTTTAATTGAAGTTGTTATATTATCTCCCCCATTAGAGTACCAGTCCGCGGCGTTAGAGGCGTTATTCTGCGTGCGTCAGTGTGTGGCGGTCGACCGTCAGCAGGGGGGAGAATTGCCCCTTGAGGCATTGATCGTGTCTTTGGGCTTATCTGTTGGTGAGAGGGGTCACGGTGTTAGTTGGGGGGGGGGGGGGTGGAGGGGGAGGGGTCGCGATATAAATGATTAATTTTGCCTTCAGGGTCGAGTATCTTCGGCAACGCCACTCATCCTGTGAGTGGACACACCGCCATAGCAGCATGTACAACATTCCCCAATAGGAAGAAACCCCGCTGGATTGTTCATCCTGTCACTTGTACCCAGACACAGCTGGGACTTGCTTAACTGTCTCAAGTGAACAAGTTATCGAACGAGATTAAAATTGACCAACACCTAAACTTATACGGATGCAGTGGGAAATCTTTTAAGTATCTATTTGTCAAATATTGCTTTCCGAACTCAATGTGGGGTTTGTTATTCTACACATTTCTAGTTATTCTCGGGTGTTCAGTCTCTAGGGTAGTGGGCAAGGCGATGTCCGTCACCACAGATTCTACAACTACGCTGTGGTTTCCATCCCAAATCTCCATGGATATTTGTATCCAAGACGGATTCTTGAGATTACTTATTTCATCCGGCGGCCGCCACCTCTTCGTCCATCATGATTGGGATTGCCAGCTGCAACCACAGTTTGATTTGTTTCTCTATCCTCCATTCCTCAATTACCTTGTCACGGTTGATGTTGCCTGATAATACCTCTATCTTGTAGAAGTCTTGTTTGTGAAGTATTTAATATGCCCGATTTTGCCCAGCTGCTTGGGCTGGGCGGTAGAGCGACGGTCTCGCTTCATGCAGGTCGGCGTTCAATCCCCGACCGTCCAAGTGGTTGGGGGCACCATTCCTTTCCCTTCGTCCCATCCCAAATCCTTATCCTGACCCCTTCAAAGTGCTATATAGTCGTGTAAAGGCTTGACACTTTTTCCCCCCCTGATAGTTTCCTTCCTTCCTAAAGATTTGTAGTGCTGCTTTTGAATCTGTGCACATTACTGCACCTTTCAGTGTTTCTTTGAAGGAATCTTGATGCCACAACAATGGCAGTTCTGCTTGCGTTGAAGAGGCATAGTTCTCAATACGTGCTTTTTCTCCATTTCCGTTATGAAAGACATTATTCCTAATTACTGTGTATGCTGCTCCAACCCTGCCATTAGCAGGATTAGATGAACCATCAGTCGCCAGGTGCTGAGGGGCGGGGGGGGGGGGGGGGAAGATAATAAAGTTCCTCTCGGAAAAAGTTAATTTATTGTTAATATAAATAATAATTAATTTCCTGATGCTTTTGTAATCGCTTACCTGTTAAATATCGAAAAGATTCCCCCCCCCCTCCATCACTGAGGTAGCTCCTCTCTCTTGGGGGTTGAGAGGTTGTGTTGCAGCTGTGTGTGTGTGTGTGTGTGTGATTCATGCCCCCATGTTTACACCCATATTTTAGTGGTTCCTCAGCGCTAGCCACGCACCAGACACCCGTCAAGGCCACCGTAGTGCCAGGGGGAGCACACACTGCATTCTTGCTTCCCGGCCACTGGCCCAAGAGCCTGAGGAGCTCTTCAACTTGACAATTAATTTCGTACCTTCTATGCAAGCCGTCTTGAGAGTTTACACCCCCCACCTCCCTCCCTCCCTCCCTTCATCCCTTTTATTGCAGACAGTACAAAGTGCACCCGAGGGAGCCTGCCCAGACTCCCCCCCCCCCCCCCCTCCAGAGGTCGTAATATATCTTCTCAGAGGAGAAGGGTCCCACAAAATTCCCCATCATCAACCGGTCTCCTGCTGGTGTAACAGGTGATTACAACCACAACATTCTGGAATAGCGTCATAGACGACTATAATAATCTCCCCTTCCCTCCCCCCCCCCATCACCGTACCATCCCGCATCATGCTAACTCGTCCAATTTTAGGCCTAGGCAACTACTTGAGTGTGCGGTGGCGGCGGCGTGAGGACCAGTGTCCCTCTGATCATTAGTGGCTCGGTACTTGACACACTTCTCACGCTCCAGCCGGTCTCTAGAAGCTTCCTTGTGTTGACAGTTGACTAATGGGGTCCCGGGCGTCTCTCTGGCAGGTCTGCTGGACACGTGTGTTCCAGTGTGACGCCCGTCCTGCTTCTCAAACTCGGCCTCTCCACTAACTTAGGTCTTGGTAACCAATGCTACAAATGTGGAAAGTAACTTCTCACAAATATATATATATATATATATATATATATATATATATATATATATATATATATATATATATATATAATATATGCGGAAAATCCACAGAGAAATATGAAATGAGGTGAACGTTTCGGCTTTGTTAAAGCCTTTCTCAACACCAGACTGACTAAGGAGAAGGGAGAAGGGGGAGGATATATAGGCCGACACCTGACCAACCCATACCTAGGGTTGGTCAGGTGTAATTAACCAAAACAGGTATAGCTTAGCTTAGAATGGTCAAAGAGGATAAAGCGGTCAGAGAATAAGGATGAAAGATTAAAGAAAAGCCTCATGAACACACAATATTAACTGGAATGGGGCAAAAAGCATTACCAATTGTGGGGATTTCGTGGAACGGAATTTGATTGAATCTGCTCTAATCAGTCAGTGTCCAAATCTTCTTAATGTTAGTACTGGAATGTACAAACTTGATCCATTTTTAAGTTATAATATTGCACAACAGTTTAAGAAACAACTCTGATAGACGCTTACAATGTCTCATTATAATTGTATATTCATATATTGTGTGTTCATGAGGCTTTTCTTTAATCTTTCATCCTTATTCTCTGACCGCTTTATCCTCTTTGACCATTCTAAGCTAAGCTATACCTGTTTTGGTTAATTACACCTGACCAACCCTAGGTATGGGTTGGTCAGGTGTCGGCCTATATATCCTCCCCCTTCTCCCTTCTCCTTAGTCAGTCTGGTGTTGAGAAAGGCTTTAACAAAGCCGAAACGTTCACCTCATTTCATATTTCTCTGTGGATTTTCCGCATAAAATGATCATTTTTTGTGATCGTCAATTGCATGCATATATATATATATATATATATATATATATATATGCAAACAAGCCTGAATGGTCCCCAGGACTATATACAACTGAAAACTCACACCCCAGAAGTGACTCGAACCCATACTCCCACAACTGGTATGTACAGGGACGCCTTAATCCGCTTGACCATCACGACCGGACAAAAGGAAGTGATAGCCGAGGCTATATGAACCACTTCCCCGCCGGCACTCGGATGGTAATCTTGGGCATAGCATTTTATCAAATCACCTCATTCTTTGGGGCACACGTGAGGAACACAAATGCAAACAAGCCTGAATGGTCCCCAAAACCATTCCCTTTTGGGGACCATTCAGGCTTGTTTGCATTTGTGTTCCTCACGTGTGCCCCAAAGAATGAGGTGATTTGATAAAATGCTATGCCCAAGATTACCATCCGAGTGCCGGCGGGGAAGTGGTTCATATAGCCTCGGCTATCACTTCCTTTTGTCCGGTCGTGATGGTCAAGCGGATTAAGGCGTCCCTGTACATACCAGTTGTGGGAGTATGGGTTCGAGTCACTTCTGGGGTGTGAGTTTTCAGTTATATATATATATATATATATATATATATATATATATATATATATATATATATATATATATATATATATATATATATATATATATATATATATATATATATATATATATATATATATATATATATATATATATATGTATGTTTTCTACGCGTCAGCCTCGATCGGTTAGGTGGGGTGGCTTGGGTTAGTACGTTTCTAGTTTAAGTAGGAGGTTGTATTTTGTATGTAGTGGCCAACCGAATGAACAGGCTGGTTCGTCAGTCTGCTCAGTCTCTTGCCGTGGGGTTGAAGGGGGGGACTCGTTGAGTACAGGGGTGCGTCTCGCCTCAAGCTGCGTGCTGGCTAGTGTTCAACTTCCTTAATTAACATTGTAATTGAATGAACAAATGTTTTCTCCTGTGACCTAAGCAGACCCTGACCTCGCCCCCCCCCCCCGCCCCCCTAACCTAGTCCCCCCCCCCTAACCTTGTCCAATCCACCAGCTTCTCAACTGTGCAAAGTTAACCATTCTTTTCTCTCTTTGCAGATCACATCTTAAGAGAAAAGTAGGTAAGTGGGAGATGTGGTTTAATATTAATTAATAGTAATCTAGCAGTAATTAGGGGGATAATTTAGTGATTAGTTTTGTTATTAGTAGTCGCGTAGTAGTTAGTAATGGTTATTTAGTAATTGGTAGTGGTTACTTAGTAGTAATTAGTAACATAATGATTATACGTAATGGACCTATAATTTATAGTCTTGAAGTAATTAGTCAGACCCAGATGATGTGATTGAAGATCACGATTGTAGGGAAGTTGATTTGGGTTGCAAATAGTAATATTTCTAAAGATATGATACGTCAATAACACTTTTTAGATCGTTAATGTACTGTATGTATAATTGGGAACTGAAGGCTGGCATATTGGCTCATCTGAACTATATGTAGCAAACATCACCATCTACACCCATCCCTTTGTGTGTAATTTACCTCAATAAACTTATTTCAATTTCAATCTACACCCACTCGGTCAGACGGGTACAGCGAACATCACCATCCACACCCACTCGGTCAGACGGGTACAGCGAACATCACCATCCACACCCACTCGGTCAGACGGGTACAGCGAACATCACCATCCACACCCACTCGGTCAGACGGGTACAGCGAACATCACCATCTACACCCACTCGGTCAGACGGGTACAGCGAACATCACCATCCACACCCACTCGGTCAGAAACCTTACCTTTTGGGCAAGCGTAAAAGATTTTAAATTGCACTTCCTTGAATGCAAGAAAAATGTATATCGTAAAATATACCTGGAAAATCTCCTCAATGACAGATTCCAAATTTACACACTGAACAAATTACCTTAAGAGTGGAAGAGGCGCGGCAGAATGTGAGGTCTTAACTCCCACACACAAGTAAGAGTTAAATAATTACATGTACAAATCGCTATAATATGAGTAAGGGAATCAGTGCTAAGCAGGTGACAGTAACCTGGCTGAAAATTAAGGAATCAATGACCTATAACTGTGTAGCTTTAGCACCACACGGCGTGAGTGTGGGGGGAGGGGGCGTGGAGGGGGAGTGGAGGGAGGGGGTTGTGTGGGGGGCGTGGTGGAGGAGGGAGGGGGTTGTATGGGGGAGTGGTGGAGGGAGGGGTTGTGGGAGGAGCGGGGGTGTGGGAGGAGCGGGGGTGTGAAGATAAACTCGCCCAAGTCTGGGTTACGTCCACCAAAAACCATGTTAGAATTGCTAAAATTTTCCCCTCGGGTGTTTAGTCTAGCCGTTGGGTTGGTGATGGTGTCGGGGGCCCGGTTTCCTGGGCCCATGGGGTGGGAGGGGAGGGGCGTGTCCCGTCCCATAAGGTTTGGGGGTTCCCTGGCCCGTAGGAGGGTGTCTGATAAACAATAATCTTGTGCGTAGCCTGGGGGATATTCAACCTAATTATAAGTGTAAATGCATACCATATGCTGCAGATCCGAATATTTGGGTAGAAGTGATTATATTTGGGAGCATTCCCTTGCTCCTCTGTATCCGGGGGGGGGGGGGGGGGGTGTTGGCGGCTCAGGAACGCCAATATTATCGTATAAATATTGTCTGCAAAAGGCCTTTGTGAGGATGGTCAGCACTTTTTTTTTTATGTCCTATTTTACTATCTCTGCAAAAGGATTTTTCTATTATATTTGAAGTTGTGGTATTTTTATGGGGCATTATCCTGGGTGTTTACGACTCTGGTATGGCGTAGTTCGTAGCCTCTAGTTAGTTTATGCTCCGGGGCGCCTGAGAGTAGTGTTTAGGCTTCCATTACTAGGCCTATAACTTCCTCCGCCCCACTCAACAAAAAGCTTTTCCAGATTTTAAGTGAATGTTCTGTTTCTTGTCTTTTGTGTTTAGGGAAGTGTGTGGGTGTGTATGTACTCGCCTAATTGTGCTTGCGGGGGTTGAGCTTTATCTCTTTGGTCCCGCCTCTCAACTGTCAATCAACTGGTGTACAGATTCCTGAGCCTACTGGGCTCTATCATATCTACACTTGAAACTGTGTATGGAGTCAGCCTCCACCACATCACTTCCTAATGCATTCCATTTGTCAACCACTCTGACACTAAACAAGTTCTTTTTAACATCTCTGTGGCTCATTTGGGCACTCAGTTTCCACCTGTGTCCCCTTGTGCGTGTGCCCCTTGTGTTAAATAGCCTGTCTTTATCTACCCTATCAATTCCCTTGAGAATCTTGAATGTGGTGATCATGTCCCCCTAACTCTTGTCTTTCAGCGAAGTGAGGTTTAATTCCCTCACTTCGCTGGAAGACAGAAGAGTTAGAGGGGACATGATCACCACATTCAAGATGTGTGTATGTATGTGTATATATAATTTTTTTTATCTTGATGGTTCAGTGTTCCTTCTGCAAGGTGTTTGTTGGTCAATATTGGCTCTGACGTCCCGCAGGTTTCTTAATTGTTGGTTTGCTTAATTTAATCTTTGAGAAGTGCGCCCTGCGAGACAATTAACGAATTTTCTAATACCGAAAATTGTCTGCAAACACGTTTAGGGTTTGTACGTTTATGTTGTTTGTATGTTGTTTGCCAGCATGGCAGAGCTCCCAAAGCAAACATTTTCGGTGTGTGACAGTCTGTGAAGGAAGTATAATATTTTCGTTATTTTTAGTAAATCACACAAATATTTACGTCGGGGAAAGGTGGCGTTAAACCTTCAAGTGAGAGGACAGGTTGTCCTTCTGTACGACGTCCCTTGTAGACTTTAATTCTCTCTTGTCAAGCCTTATTGCTGACCCGCAACTGGTCCTTACTTAACACGTCGCATTTTTTACGGAATCGAAACCTTCGTTAAAGTTCAACGTGTTAATAAGAAAGCACCGTATTAATAACGTTTTCTATGCATCAGCCTTTAGGTGGGTTGCTTGGTTTGATACGTTTATGGTTAGGCAAGACAGTGGCAATATTTGCAGAGTGGCAAAGGAGGAGAACGGGCAGTCCAAGAACACGTGAACGTCAAGCAACTGTCACGAACAGTACTGGTGCATTGAAGCAGCTTCGGGTTTTGCTGATGACTCCGGTGGCTCCGAGGTGCCCTGGAAGGCGAGCAGGTGTACACGGTGGCTCCGAGGTGCCCTGGAAGGCGAGCAGGTGTACACGGTGGCTCCGAGGTGCCCTGGAAGGCGAGCAGGTGTACACGGTGACTCCGAGGTGCCCTGGAAGGCGAACAGGTGTACACGGTGGCTCCGAGGTGCCCTGGAAGGCGAGCAGGTGTACACGGTGACTCCGAGGTGCGCTGGAAGGCGAGCAGGTGTACACGAAGGTGTGGCAAGTCCCGCCAGATATGAGCACTGTGTGCGTGTTGGCATACCGTTGGGGGTTCCAGGCGGAAGAGCGCTCCAATGCCCACCATCTCGTACACAGGTATTCAACAGACCGCAGGGGAAGTGAAGAAGCTCGACTTCCCCCGGGAAGCTCGTGTTATTATCTACATGAAGGGGTTATAGCACCAGTGTTAAGGGCTGACGGTGGTGGTGGTGTTAAGCTAATAATAATGCTATAATACTAGCAATATATGTATACATTATACCCGGCTCTTAAACTTCTGCGTTTGTGTTTTGTTTTACTCTAGTGCGTTTTACATGACCAGGTAAAATAAGACTCGCAAAGAAAGACCAGCACAGCTTCATCAACGGAAACTCCTGCCTGACAAACATGCTTGAGTTATCTGACGCTGTAGATCAGATACTAAAATGAAAGACTGTCTGCATCTTTCAGGGCTGCCAGAAGGCCTGAGATAGTTTCTCAACGTGCTACCATTTAAGCTAAAACGGGAGGATGGAGTGGGTGGAAGGTACAGCACTTACCTGTAAACAGTGTTGTACCACCAGGTTCTTGTACTAGGTCTTAACTCTTCCTAGTTTATAATGTTATGTTAAGACTGTGGGAGTCCAGCAACACTGGTGTATTTTCTCAATACACCAACGAAATGGTTTGAAATAGGTGTCCAGCAGAGAATGGTCCAGTAGGACCTGGACCAACCTTAGAGCTAATCGGAGAGATGGCTACTAAAATTTAACACACACACACACACACATGCAAAGTAATGAAAACAGGGGCAGGGAATTGCAGAGATATTGCCCAACGCAATTCAATTAATACCTTTGAGTCAGTGAGAGACGCCTGGGAAGTTCTCTCTCTGGCTCATGTCAAAGACCTTCTGGCATTCAAGATAGATGCAGTCAGCCTGTACTTCCCTTTCCGGTTTGATCGTCATTATGTCTCAAGCAGGACTTGGCTTGGCCACAAATATTGCGTTCACTTGACTCATCCTTTTTTAACAGCTCAGAGTATGTGTGTGTGGTTTTCAGCGTTTGTCACGATGTGGGATGTTTTACATATTTGGCTGCCACACGGCGCGTCAGTGTCTTAATCTCTTCATTGTACCCATGTTTAGTTTTTAATTTGTGTTCTTCTCTGGTTATAGTGACAATCATCTGTTTATTCAGTCTGATGGTGACTCTGATATAAATGTTCTTAAATGTGTATAATTGTAATTTATTGTTAGGTGACCTGTCTGAGTATGCTCAATCTACCTGCTGTAGTTGTATATAATATTAATTATATTTAATTCACTATATAGGGTATCCGGCTCTGCCCGGGTCTCTCTCCCCTTTCCTTCCTACTCGCCTCCCCTCCCCCTCTCGTCTTGTACTTTCTTATCCACTTTCTCTCCCCCCCCCCATAAAATTTTATATTACGAAACGCTAAAAAAATCTAACTCTTCAAAATGCACATCCCAGATTTTGGACATAATGAAAATCGCAAGGGGGGGGGGGGTCGTTCTAGATGCCGACATTTCTTGAAGGGTGGCACTGGGGCCGATCCCAACTGGCCTATATGACACATTGTCGCTGTGTCGTCTTGGAAAGTTGGGCGATGCTATTAGCAAGCGTCTGGCAACCTACGTTGGACGCAATACTAATTGTTACATAAAATAAAATGTTTTATTATCTAAATATTTCAGTGTGTCTGATGGGTTGAAGAACTCCAAAGCTCAGACATTTTATT